AACATTGTTGTGTCCAACATGTTGGGTCCGTTTGAACACCATGTTGGATATTGTTGCATTTATATGTTGGATGATGTTGGATCAACTTTTTATCCAACATCGTCCAACATTTGGCAAAAATCAGTACAATGTTATCGTTTCCATTGATATTATTTAAAATTGACTAGAAATATGGGATAATCTCACACAAACTTACCTGATATAGTTAAAAATTTTTTATTCATACTAACGATTAGGTAAAAGTCTATACAATAATGTTAACATATACAGAGGCTATGTTTGCGATGTTACTTTCAGTGCATATCCACACCGGGCAAGCTTGAAAAATATGCCCGGCCACGGTGGGATTCGAACCTACGACCTTTTCAAGCTCGCCCTGTGTGGATATGCACTCAGAGTAACATCGCAAACATATTATTCACCTGAGTACACAACACCAACACAGAAAAAAAATTTATATACAGAGGCTTACATACAGCATTATAAGCAAGAGCAGCCATCTTGAAAACATGAAAACAATAACATTGAAAATCTATGCGTATTTAATTAATATACCCAGGTGATCTCGTGTTCGTATTTTAGCCAATCAGCGCTCAGAAAGGGTTGTCCGAATAGAAATCCATTTTGATGTATTCAGTCAATTATATCTTTCATTATTCTTTATGAAACTAGTTGAAATTTTGTAATTATGTTTGGTTATGAGAACTATAGCTCTGACAAAAATATGGAATCGAAATAAAGTATATTACAGGAGATATTCGGCTGTTTTAATCATAAAATGGATTTCTATTTGACAACTAGTGCCAGTACTTTTCCGCGTATCAAGATCACCTGGACAGTAAATACTGTCCAATCAACACACGGGTCACACTGTTCTTATTTTCAAACAGAAGTTCGTACTAATTGAACTGCTAAAAGTTGTTGGATTGTTGCATCCGTTTGAACACGTTGACCAACAATCGTCCAACATTGTTGGTCCAACAATGTTGGACAATGTTGCATCCGTTTAAACAGGCCCTCACCTGTCAACACAAATAGACCTCAGTGACAATATAGACGATGTGCTGTTTGCACCATTAGTGGATGTTGGTATAAGCATCCATTGTAACTGTGACAAATTTCCGAATACGAGCTTCATGTTGAAAAACAACGACATATTGGATGAATCATCATCAAATGGCATGTTTTATACATTTACTCCAGATCTAGAAACAGTCAAGGCATTTTTTAATACCATGGGCTGGTGGGCCATTTGCCCCACTGGGCCCCTCCTCTGCCCCACCACTGAAGAAAAAAATAACCTATCGCTCCAAAGCTAGGGCCCTATTGAGTAAACGAGTTTAACATTGAAAAGAAGTTTAAAAAACAAAATTTGTTGGTGAGCATACTTAAACTTACCAGTTGCTTTTAATGTTTAGCAAAAATATGGTTAAGTATGGTAAGTATGTAAACTGAAGCATAGCTCAGTCATCATGGGTCCAAATCAAATGAAATTTTGCATTCTGATTGTACATGATGAGACCATGGATTGTAAAATAACTGGATAGAAAACTTCCTGACGTCATTGACTGCATCCTTGTTGAAAAACGTGACGTCACGCATATTGCGAATGTTACCAAAGTTCTCGGCATTTGTGTTGTTTTCCTACATTTTCCACTTTAAAAGGGTGATATTGAAGCATAAACTGGTCTAATTGTTTTACAAACAAAGTATTCAAGGTAAATGTTTTTCGTCTTTGTTTTGTATTTTTTACATTTGTAGCCACGAAATTGGCGTCACAAATTTTAACGAAATTTGCGATGTATTTTTCTCTGTTTAGTGCTTGAAATATTTGCTAAAATTGACTGGGAATACTTAGAGTTTTCATCGTAGAATGGCGTGGTTATATTTATTTGATCTTTGATTAAAATATTTAGCTGTATTAGTGCTAAACATGCTGTTTTTGAGAATTTGGTTTGCAACTAGATTAAGGCATCCAACCACGCCATCAGCCCATTGAAAACATTAGGTCACGTTAGCTAGTTTCCTATCCATTTATTTTATTATCCATGACGAGACGCATTGAAAAACACTTTTAATTTTGTTGCCAAGGTAACAATGACGTTCCCAGGCCTCTTGCCCCAATTTTATGAAACAGCTTTATTAATGATACTGATAAGGTAAAATAATATCAGAAGTATGTGTACCATACCTATGCATGTCAAAAGTTCACTTGCATGATAATAATTCGAAAATGACATATACATAGATAAATACAACTAGTTATTCAAAATCAGTGCAAGGGGTCTGGGAACGACTGTGTTGCCTTGAGAACAAAATTAGAAGTATTTTCCCATGCATCTCATCATGTACTATCTGTATGCAAAATTTCATTTGATTTGAGCCAATAATAACTTAGATATGCTTCAGTTTACTATTCAATAAACATATTTACCAAACTAATGACGTCACATGTTGTGCTGATTCAGCAATTTATATTTTACACATTTTTGGGTATAACTTCGGAACCAGATGAGATAGAATAGAGCAGTAAAACGGCCAATCGGCTTATTATTTTATGCTCTTTCAGATAAAGCAATAAAAATTTTTATTGCCAATACCCTTTAAACTAATTAATATATGTTACTAGAAGAAATGTACAGACTCACAGCAAACGTTTGTCGCAAGGAAAGTGCTGCCTTACCCCCAATGGTCAAAGGCAGCATGCATAATTTGTTGAATAAGGGGCTGTTTATATGATCCCGCTTTTCCAGCACGAGAAATAAGACGGGATTATTTCAATGTATTGAAATAAGTCACGCTGCACAACTTTAGCAAAAATTAACTTCATAATTTTTTAGAGATAGATTAAAATTAACTGCAAATGAAAGGTTGTTCCAGCGGCAATAATAATCTTCTTGAACTACAAGATCTTCTCTACAATATTTGAGTTCTGTTAACCAGCATTTGAACTTTTGTTTAGCCTAGTGACTTATTCCAATACATCAAAAGTCATCCCACCTTCCATCATGTAAACAGCTCCTAAGACGCATTTTCAGGAGGTAAGAAAAGTGCAATTTGAATATCAAACACCTTGCCCAAGGTCGAACGTCAGCTAAATGTTCTAATGGTACTGACTCGCTACTTTCTTGGCATGGGCAGTTTTATATGAATACCTTCAATGCTTATAATTTCTTGCTTTTGTATCAGTATGTATATTATAACACTGCCAGTGGTGAAGCTAGCCATACAAACAGGTCATGCGATATGCAAGTTTTTAATGATTTGCATTATTCAAATATATGCAGGTTTATTGACGTGCATGACCAGTTGCCATGGTAGCTAGTTTGCTACTGAATAGTGTACAAAATCATATTATAATATGTATAAACGATAATAATAGAGAGTTTAAGCTTCGCGTTATACGGCAAACGGCAAACGGGAGGCAAAGAAGAATTTTACGGTATCAGGCAATAAAGAATAAATGAACTTGCTGTTTTAGAACTGCAATGCATGACTATTCTTTCGACACAAGAAAGAAAATATGAAACTAAAATGTTAAACGAAAATTTTGCGAAGGAAGGTCGAAACTGCCGTTTGCCGTTCCCGGAACCGCCAAGCTTAAACTCCCTAATACTTGAATGAATCATTGGACATATAGAATTTAATAACAATTTCATATATAGAAATATTAAGTCAGTTTTTGTCCCAATTATTGTTCTAATGGCACCTTCACGCAAGTAAGTGTATTAAAGTAAGTGCCTTCCTCCAATGTTACTGTAGCTACCTTGAATCAATAACGTTTGCTGATATATAAATAAATATATACACACTCTCGTCCTATATGCCTGATAGCCAATGTATGTAGAGCATATAGTAATTCCCGCAAAAACGTAAATATCCGGATTTTGGACATATTGTACTTAATAGAAATAAATGCTGAAGGCTTATGTTGATGGAAATCTCGAGTGTAATTTTTTGAAAAAACGAAACGTGCCGTTAGAGCTTAACAAATTGGACTCTGTAGCTCGTTTGGTTAGAGCGTTGCACCGGAATCTAGGCCGTGGGCTGTTGGCCAAAATTATTTCGCTTCGTGGCACCCATGTGGGAAATACTTCGTTTGGGGTTTATTTGAAAGGCATATAGGTACATCACTACCAAAAAAAAGTTCCCAAGCAAAAAATTGCCCAAAACCGAGAAAATGGGTGATCAATGATTATCCTCTATTAAATTGTATTATAGTAAAAAATGGGACATTTATAATTCAATTACCATAAAAATGACTTGCATCATCGGAAAACGTACAAAAAACCGCATATAAGACTTTTAAACAGTTTTTTTTTATTTTTCAAATAGTTTTTGAGTTATTGCTGTTTTAAATGTGAAAATTGGACTAAAATGTCGCAATAAGGAATGGGTACTAGGTCAAAAACGCGTTTTTGACAGTGTATAACTCGAAAACAATTTTAGATATAAAAAACTGTTTAAATGTCTTATATGTAGGTTTTTGTAAGCTTTCTGATGATGCAAGTCATTTTTGTTGTAATTGAATACAAAATTTCACATTTTCTTGCTGTAATACAATTTAATAGAGGATAATCACTGATCACCCATTTTCTCCGTGTTGGGCAAGTTTTTTGCTTGGAAACTTTTTGTGGTAATTAAGCATCTATGGTTCTATGAATTGAACCACAGAAAATCTATTTCCCAGCGGGGTGCCACGAAATTGCTTTTCTAGGCACTTTTTCGCACAACAGCCCACGGCCTAATCAGTTCACATGCCGACAGGTTCAATTCCCGCCAGAGCGCCTGTAGTTGCGTTTTACGCAGCTGCTTCCGCCTGCTTGAGTCCAAAGTGATGGAAAAAATTTACACTCGAGATTTCGATCTATAAAAACCACAAATATCTGACTATATTAATCCATATGAGTAATCGACGCCTGATGGCATAGATGGCAGCACCATTTCCGCCACCAATATCCTTAAATCCATATTAACCAGACTACAAACATGAGTTTATATCATTCTTCATCAATGTCTTGAGGCAATTTTTCATAATCATCAGCGCGTTTTGAAAAGCGAATATACAGAAGTAAAATTACAAGAATGACTCCCGAATTCATTGAGTAAATAAGTAATGTCGTCCGTGTTCCCAAAGCGTTGAAAAGAACTCCCAAAAGAGCTGAACCACTTTCAGTACCCAAAGCCAACACCGCCTCTTGCAGTCCTGGAGATACATAAATATCCAAATCAAACACAGCAAGATAAGTAGTAGTATATCGGCCGTTTGACCCGGATTTTTAATTGAGGAACGCATCATGATTACCATAAAGTGTGGGGAGCAGGGCAGTGCATGGGGATGAAATGTGGAGGAATGGGGCGGATGCATGACGTCATAATGTATGCAAGACGTCATAATACATGCATGATGTCAAAATGATGTGCAAAGCAAGTTTGGGCAGGTTTGGCCGTCTAATACGAACAAATTCGTCTGAGATACGCCTCTAAGTATTCTACTTTGTCGATATCCTCCTGAATACCTTCATTATATCAAATCCAAAGCATCGTTCTGATCATTTGAGGGGAAAATGGGCAAAACTATTCCGGACATTCCATTTTTCACAAACTTTCCCATTAATGTATCGTAATCTGTTAAATTTTTCCTTAATTTTCGTAAATTTAGCAAAATTTTTGCTATATTATTTTTTATTCCTAGCCACTCAAATATTTTCGCTGACTACGAAAACAAATTGCCAGTTAATCCGAAAATAATTTGCCGAATCAAGCAGACATTTCCGGAGTCCGTCATGACTGTGGGGGTGTTACATCCACCCACTCCACCCACACACACACCACCCCTGTTAATCCGAGCTTTACATGCATGAATAAGCTGCCGAATTCCATTTTATTTTTGCGTTTTCAAGGTAAACATTTCTTGGATATATCTCTGTAAAAATTTCCCACTGAAAAGTATTATCGCTAATAGGGCCATTTACACCAGCGAAAGAATACCGCGGTTTATATCAGGATAAATACCGCGTAAGCAATTAGCCATTTCCCAACGTTCTGGGTCTAGTCACGCGAATCCCATGTTGGCAGCACTTTAATTTAAATTAAAAGTTTAATGTAAAAAGGAGATATTTGATTTTTGGTCGTTCAACAGTTGATCATTGATAGTAGATACTTCTACACACGTAAAAATCTCACAATTTGTCAACAAGATGTGTTCGCAACAGTGTTGTCAACAAGTTGTAACAATGTTGTTATTTTATCAAGTTGCTACAAGCTTGTTACTCACATCTTGTTGCAGGACGATAACAAGTTGTTGAAACAACTTGTAACAAGTCTGTTGAGGTCAAAAACCTTGTAGCAAGTTGTCAACAAGCCGTCGACAACTTGTCAACAAGCTGGGAACAAGCAGTGCGAACACATCCTGTTGACAAGTTGTTGGAACAGCATTGCTACAAGTCTGCTGCAGGTTTGTTACATTAACTTGTGCGTTTTTACGTGTGTACTCTTTCACATGTTTGACGCCTGTCACCATATATTTTGTCCCTTCAAACGATCCCAGAATTCACTGTGATCTCTTTTGGGAAAAGTCTAATATGCCGCGGCTTATTTAAGCCTTTATTTGGCAATTCTCAGCTCATTTTAATGCTAAATTCTTTTTCGTCTATTTTCAAAATAAAGTACGAACTATGTGATTACCATTTGCGTTCAAGCTTGCGACGTGCATTTTCAAAACGTACGTTTAACGTTTCAAAATTACGTACGTTTTGCCACGCCCCATGTCATGTTTGGGCAATGAAACTGACATGTTTTGGGGCTTTGAATGGCATGTCTTGCTTACGCACTAAAAAGGTTTTTACATAAGTATATAAGTAAAAAATAAAGTTGCATTTTTGCTGGCGTTTATACCGAATTATGCTCAAACACAAATTCGCGATACGTTTTACTAATGCACGTTGGGTGGCAGATACAAAGGAAATCGATTCTCATTCTTCGGCTTTCGCTTTTACACTTGGTGAAGAGCTCTCGGATATTCTTACTTTCAGGCGATCAATATCCGTCCCTGGAATACATTTTACCCCAGAAATCGCGATTCTGAAACATAGGGGATAATCACTGTTCATCACCACGAATTCATTCTCGCCATTTTCGTATAGTGATAGTGAAAGTGAAAGTGAAATTTATTTATTCAATTCTCTTTGAATTTCTCGCCTTTAATAGCTTCTGTTATTAAATCGTTGTATGTCCTAGGCGAAGTCATGACAAAAACATGTCGTGTTTCACCCACCTGAACTTGCATTGAATTTGGTTCGCGGATTTCATCGTCCGATATTAAATTAAACGGCTTGCTCTTAAACGCGCGAATTACTTTGTAAAACTTTTCTAGTGCATATTAAGCAAAACATGCCATTCCAATTGCCCAAACATGACATGCGGCGTGGCAAAACGTACCTTTTGAAATGCCAAACGTACGTTTTGAAACGTAAAACATATACATTTTGAAACGGCACACGCCGCAAAGTTGAACGCAGATGGTAATATATAACTAAACATTCCACTGATAACATATTTTTATTTTTAAGATGTCTACCTACATTTTACATACAATTACGCTATGTAAATTCGACGCTATTTGGAAATGAGTTTAAGAAAGACTTACCACGAATCACTCCTGAACTTGCTTTTGAACCTGCTTTTGAAAAATGCACTGTCAAGCTACAATATGCTAGTCCGTAAGCAGCCGTCTGCAACACGTCGATAGCCAGCACAAACCATGGTACCCGTGTGAAGGACGTAGCCAAAAAGGACAGAGAAAACAGAGAAAAAGCGATACATATAGTCTTCAGCTCACCAATTCTTTTCAGCAACTCGCAAGACAATAGCGTCCAAATGGCCAGCATTGGCCGACGAATTAATCCAGCTACACCCAATAATAAAGGACTTGCAAACAATCCGTCTAAATACCAAAACTCCCAGAATATCTGAAACGCTGCAGGAATTCCGGTACAAAAAAGAATGCAAAACATGAGCGCGAAGTGAGTATTGCATAATGCTGATTTTACTTCTGACCAGTTAATCGTTTTATTTTCGTTGTATTCATACCGAAACCACGGCAAAGAAAGCATTGAAAGTAGCGCCATACAGCTGGCAACGATATACATTGTAAAATAGCCATAGTTTTCTGTCCCACAAATGTTAATTTTGATAAACCATGCCAACATAGCGACAGTGAATATCGAAATGGCACCACCAATATGGCTCCACATATAATATGCACCGTAATTTGCTCTGCGTTCTTTAAGGTACGCAATGGTCGCCAAATCGCCTAGAGATGCAAGCATTCTGTGTGGAAATTCATATGCAGTTCTGGTGACAAGCATTAGAAGAAACAATATGCTAAGCCAGGGAACATTTTCGGAATAATCACTTGTCTCTGTGTTTGTGGGGGATGTTGCGCGCTCCGAGTTGCCTAATTTGTCGGTTAAATTATTTGTAGGAAACGAATTTCTTGAAATCACTGAACTATTGATAGAATGTCCAGATGTCAACGTTATCGACTTGTTTGACGTAAAGCAAAAAATCGCTGGTGACGAAACTGTAAAAGGAAGCGCGCAGCGGCAGAAAGTAACACACGACCAGAAAAACCAATCCAATAATAACCAAAAGTTTTCGCGCCCGAAATTTGTCGCCAATGAATAGACATGGTGGGATGAATAAATTCGAAACTCCCATAAGATTTGTTAATCCAATCTGCCGTGGACTTAAACCAAGTTGTTTCATGCATATATTACTGAATTCTGAGTAGATAATCGCACTCCCTACCGACCAGAAGTAGAACCATTTTAGAGCGATGGATTTGATCGAAAACTTCTCCATAATCTCAAGAACTTTGACATTTATAAGTATATCACTGAGTACTACTACCTTCGCACTTGAAATGACTATTGTAAAGTAGAGACACAATTAAGCTTTGTGTTAAAACCTGGAATCGGGGGACGGGGAATTGGCATGAAAAACAGAACAACCTATATAAAAGCGAAACGGTTTTTGTAAAACCATTGGAAAATTTCCTACAGCGTCTGTCGATTTAATACTCTATAGACTTTATTATATATTGCCATAATTACATAGGTGATTATTGACAATTTTGCACGCTGATTTGTTGCCGTTGAGGTGATTATAACGCGATAATCACCTAAGTTATTTTCGAAATGACGGCCGAAGCCGTTTTGTCAATTAAATGACGAAGAATCAGCTATGAAATTATACTAAAACAAGGTTCACCTCAGGCTCGGTGATTGTCGTGAATAAAAAACCTCGACTTCGTCTCGGTTTTTATTCACCAATAATCACCTCGTCTTCCGGCAGCGAATAATTGTTAAATAATTAACAACGTTAAAAATTCAAGCGCTTCATTGGTCAAGAGCCATGATCTATTAGAGAACGGACGCACGAAACACGTCACACAAAACCTTTTCCAATAAAGCACAAAACCTTATCCATTCTTATTTGTATCGATCATGTACGCGTGATGTTTGTAAAATTTCGAATTTTTAAAATTTTCAAATGTTTGAATAAAAAAAACCTGAGCTATTTACCTGTTTGAATCGAGGTTTTTCTCTTTATTGTATAAAATTTTGCTGTTTTTTGTTCATTTGTATAGGTAATCACATGGGAAGGAGTGTAATTAATGATTAACACTACGAGCTTAGTTATGTTTGAGGCGAGTGCAATTTGGCACATTTTCCCAAAATCACGAGTAGTGTTAATCATTAATTGCACGACTTGCCCGTGTGATTATTTATTTATTATATGGATGACGATGAAGAGTTTTCAACTGTTTTGTAAGCAATTTGGCAAAAGCAAATTAAACTTGGAAAAGTGATCATAAACTCATAAAGGCACATGATTCAAACCCATATATAGAACATATGATTTAAACTCAAACAACATATTTTAGAGTAAGAAAATCTTTATAAATTATATTACAGACATACATAGTCACGTTTCGCTGCATCGCGCCGAGATTATTTCTCAAAACTACTTCCAGGTATTTTCCACATGCTCTTTTTGCCATACTATGTTTTTTAAACTCATTCTGGTGCCAAAATTTAGTTAAATCCGTCCACGTTTGTAAGACAAATTTCGCCGCCATATTAGCTTATTGTTGTTTTGATTTCCCGCTCGGCGCTCCCTCCAGCCATCACGAAAATCATTAATTGCACTCCTGGAGAGTGCAATTAATGATGGTAAAGAACGAATAGGTCCTGAGTGCTATTAGTATAGGTAATAGCATGTTTCGAGTGCAATTTGGATATAACATGCACGAGTGAGTTTTTCAAAGACCTCAAAATAGCACGAGTCCGAAGGACGAGTGCTATTTGAGGTCCTTGAAAAATCACGAGTGCATGTTTATCCAAATTTCACGAGAAACCATGCTATTACTTATTAATAATTTACATAAAAATGTTCGAGACAATTGTAGTTTTAACTTACGCGTTTATAGCGAATATTCCACTGGCAAAGCTTTCCTGGCTTTGTTATAGCACATTATAACAACGCTAACAGCTTGAAAATTCCACTCAACTATGTAATTTTTGTTAGTCTTATTTAAGGTAAATGCTTTTCCATTTAAAAATAAAGATAAAAGCCATATTTTCCACGCGAAGGCTACTTTTACTTTGTATACCGCGGTATCATGTTTAATTGTTTTGTTTTGAAGCAATCTATGACCGTTACTTCTTTAAACTAAATTGCTTTAAACTGATTGGTTGATTTAATCATCACAATGTTTTTCCACCAATCAGATCAGTTTGTTACAGATTTTTGCACTGTGATTACAGAAAATTGCACTGTGGTTACAAAAAATTGCACTGTGGTTACTGAAAATTGCACTGCTGTTTGGGATTACAGTGAAAATACAAAAAGTGTCCCACTTCCGCTTCTGTAGTTTGTTGTGATTTACTGTAATTTGTTCTGTTTTTCTGTAGCGATTACCGATTTATCGGCAAATACTGCGATAAAATTTAAATTTCGTACTTTTATGCAATGAAACTAACGAAAAATGTATTATTTCCCTTTGCTACAAATTATCATATTTAAAAAGTAGAGAAAACTAAGTTTTATCGCGGTATTTGCCGATAAATCGGTAATCGCTACAGAAAAACAGAACAAATTACAGTAAATCACAACAAACTACAGAAGCGGAAGTGGGACACTTTTTGTATTTTCACTGTAACTGCAATGAAATCAACCAATCACAGTCATGTAATATCTTTATGCATATTATTAATGCCATAATCATACGAGTGATTACAAAATCAACCAACCGCGTAGCGTGAGGTTGATTTGTTAATCGCGAGTATGATTATGGCATTAATAGTACGACTTAATTCGTTCTATTACTTATTAATTATTTATCTTCTGTAATCAAACTGTTTAAGGGGGGAAAAGCACAAAAATACAATTTATTGAAATTCAATATAATTATTCAATTTTTGTCACGAGAATTCGTAGTGAAATAGTACAATTTTAAATTAAATCATATTAACATATTATTAACATTGTTTGAATTATTCTACACACAAATGGGAAGCCATGTTTGCATGTTTATATTAACGTGTTCAAAATAGTGAAGTTCTTTAGTTCAGTTTAATCTGAATTTGATTCAAATATAACCGCTGGTTGTGTCTAGTTCGGTGTCTTTTGCTGGAAGAACAGGTAGATCATTTTCGTCAGAAAATATATAATTAACAGCCCTCGAAAACGAGGTCGGCATTCGGCAATGCCGACCTAAATGCCGACCTATTAACCTCCCAGGTCGGCAATTTTTTGCCGACCTTAATTCAGCAAAATAGGAATCTTTTTTGGTGCTGATAGCTGTTAAAAAGTTAGCGATTATAGAATCCGATACACTTTGGTGTAAGGTTTAAGAATTAACGGGTATTCTACATATAATTTAGGTAAGACTCTAAAAGAAAAGCCTTCGTGACATGACTTTTCAATGATACGTTATTACTAGTAGTGCAGGCTACTAGTGCTCCAAGACATGGAAACAGATTTTAAAAAATGCCGAGATGTGCCGACCTAGGTCAAATTTAGGTCGGCATTTTTTTGCCAACCTCAATTTTGACGGATTCGAGGCCTGACTTAAAAATTAAAAGGTCAAAATTTTCAACATTTGTGAATTCCAACATTTTGAAATTTTTACAGCAATAAAGAAAATAAAATTCAAAGTTTGTATCCTGAATGCTGATTGGCTAGTTGTAAATACTAGACTGATTTGCATTGGCTGTAGACAAGAGTGCGATTACAGCTCAGAAAAGGTGCGATTAATGCTCAAATCGCACTCCGTAAACCAATGAAATTGCAGTATTTGCCACTGATTTCAGAAGATAAATAATTAATGAAATAATTGCACTCCTCTTAACCAATCAGATTGCAGTAATTTTGTCATGTATATGATAAATAGATATATGCCGCTGTCTGTTCAGTTGTATGACATCATAATGTGGGAAGAACACAAAAGTTACACACTCGTCTCGGCGGCTCGTGAGCCACTTTTTTGTTTCTCCCACATGACGGTTAAACATCAGTCTAATCTCTATAATCTGATTACACGAACATGCTATTTTCACGAACCATTGCATTGTTCGATAACACAAACCGCAGGTTCGATTCCCGCCAGAAGGCTAGCTGTAGTTGCATTTTTCGCAACTGTTCCTGGTTAGGTCTAATAAATGTACAAAATTCACACTTGAAATTTCCAGCTGGAACTGTTATTTTTCATGGGCACAAAGTGAACAAAACACATTTTGTTCGTACAATTAAAACAATTGGGAGTGCATGATCATTCATTTTGTGCCAAGGACTGCTAAGGATTGTATCCACTAGTATAATAAAAATTACACAGCCCTCATGGGACCAATAGATATTGAGGAAATTTTCTACTTAACTGATAAACCAACGAATATAATGTGTGTCATGTTACTCTGAGTGTATATCCACACCGGGCAGGCTTGAAAATATGCCTGGCCACGGTGGGAATCGAACCTACAACCTTTGGAATACTAGCCCGATGCTCTGTTGGCAGAGCATTGGGGGCTAGTATTCGAAAGGTCGTAGGTTCGATTCCCAGCGTGGCCAGGTATATTTTTCATGCTTGCCAGGTGTGGATATACACTCAGAGTAAAATCACACACATCATATTCACCTGAGTAGAATAACACCAACACAAAAAAAAACAACGAATATAAGTTTCCTTAACTTATATCAACCAATTAGCTTACATTTAATATGGCTCGATTAATCCACACCAAATCCCTATACCACGATCGTGTAATCAAAACGTGTCCTATATAACTACAAACCTGCCTGACCATTTGTTTCTGTTAGAATTTAACGAAAGCACTTTTATAATGTGACATGGCCACCTGTTTATACGCCACTCGGGCCATTGTACGTTATTTTTAACCGGGTTGCGTGGTAATTGCAGACGTAATTATAGAAATGCCAATTTTTTGAAAAAGTGCGCTTCATGTCATTAGGGAAGTTTAGCAAAGACGACGCGACGCCAAAGATAACATGTAAATGGCGTGGCACATCCATAAATGGGTACACCACGCCAATTTCATGTCATCTTTGACCGTCGGCGTCGTCTTTGCTATAAACCCCCCGATTATTTTGTCTACTAACCTGCAGTATGCTGTATTACTGCAAAGTCTTTCAATATATACCAAAAATAAAAAAATTCTGTATAATGCCAATTAAATTATCGAACAAGACGGAATTTTTGCGGGTTTTTAAAAAAAATGGCATCACACAGAATTTTTTTATATATTGCTTATCGCTAGGTTATGTTCTAAGTAAATAGTGATTGAAAAAATTTGGATCACCGTGCTTCTTCTACAGCTACACAAAGCAATACGCCATTTCAAAGTCAATTTCGTTCGCATGCATGTCTTACCATAGCAACGAACGATGTGTTACCAAGACTGCCATCATTTACAAGCTTATTTATTTCATTGCGTATAGACGGTACACATGGTTTATTTTCCTACGAAATCGTGCGAAATACTATCATTCCCCTCGCAAAATGACTTTATTTCTCGTGTAGACGTTATATCAATTTTAATATGTGCCAAATAGCCGTGGGGAAATTATTCGCGTTCAACGCATGCACTGACTGCAGTTTAAATTTGGCGAATAGCCTGGCACTGAAGGTGTAAAGTACACACTCGTTTACGTATGTGTGCTCTATATTTTTTCGTGATTAATGTATACTCAGATCTTGAATTTTACAACAAAGCTCGCTTAAAGTATTTGTAGTATACCCTTTGCGTGACCGATATCAGATACAAGTCAGTAGGTAACATTTACAAACTTACTAATTTAATTGCGTAGACAGCTGTTGAAACGGTAACCTGAAATTCAGGCCCTAATTGCTGCCGCAGCG